CCCACTACCAATATTACTAGTACTTCTAGTAGAACTACAACTGATACTTCTACTACCATACTACTAGTATTTCTACTGCTATTAATACAACTACTAGTAATGTTATTAAAAATACTACTATGGCTAATAGTATCAGTATTCCAGCTGTTTCTACTGCTATTGATACTAAACCGACTTCTACTGCTAGTACTGATACCCAAATTACAACTAACATTACTACAAACAATTTTAAACCTCTTTTTATTCATCTCAGCTTTTGTTATTTCTGTACTTTTTAAAATTCATTTAAGCTCCTGCAACTTCTGTTTTGCAATATTTCACATTTATTTCAGCTGTTTTCATTTCTGCTTTTTCAGCAAATCTATTCAAATTCCTTTCAGCTTCTCCCATTTCTGTATTTTCAGCTATTTCAAATTAATTTCAGCTTTTCTAATATCTTTTATTTCAGCAAATGTATTCAAATTCCCTTCAACTTTCTGTATTTTCAGCTATTTTTAAATATTCAGCAAATGTATTCAAATTCCCTTCAACTTTCTGTATTTTCAGCTATTTTTAAATATTCAGTGCAGCTTTCAGCTTTTTGCATTCCAACGCATTTTCAGCAGGAAATGCCTTTTCTAGTTGAACAAACTATTTGAACAACAAGAGATTTATGCACATTTGAGATTTATTTGAACAAGTTATTACCATATCTAGTTCCCTTCTGGGTTCTTCTACTGTGGCCATTGCACATAGCATGTGAGAGATCCCTCCTTATGGCTCGTGATCCAGATAGCCATAACAAAATGGAAGCGGATGAGGACACACCTGGTACAGAATGTCTTCTCTCAAGACTCACACAAACTGGCATCTCTGTCTCTGGCATTTGTCTGTCCGTTTGCATAAGAGAGCTTTTTGTTTGTCGGCGCAGCTCCACTCCAGTGGAAGCCAATTTACAGTTTCAGGTATCAACGACGGATGGGGGGGATCCAACCCCCGGATACAAAGCCCCCGATTGTCTGGGCGGCTCACCTGTCTCTGTGCTGGACGTCGGTATTCTCTCGATACTGGGACACTGTCATGGTCCAGTAACTCTGACCCTGTACCACCCCCTCCCCCCTGCAGGTTGTTTCTAATGTCGGTGATAATAGTACTTTTAATCATTGCAAGTGAATAATTGACACTGTTTCTGTGAAAGGCCACGCACTTATGGTCTGGCCCCCCTGAGAGGCTGGAGGAATGTGTCTGTTGGCAGGAAGCAGTCGGTGTGACTAAATGTGCACAGAAGTGCACATCTATTCGCTGCATGCGTACTTGGATGGAAGTGTGGAAATCCGGTCACCGGCTCACAGAGAGCAGCAGACGGAGCCGCTTGGCCAATCTGGTGTCCTCGGGCAGGTCTTGAGACTTTAGTTTAAGTTTGTCTTAAGTATTAAATAGAGAGTTTGCTAGAGGAGCATTTCTTGACTGGTGGACAGTTGTTTAGGGGCGTGAGACAGCTCGCATATTTCATAATGTTGAGTCAGCTTGACCTCAACGTCAGGTCACCAGATGATGAGTGAGAGCGTTCGGGTGAGAACTTCTTGTTCCTGTCCCGGACAAAGTGTGTCTCCTGACTTAAGCAAACACAGATTGGGGCTACTGGGAACCAGTCACAGAGCAGCAGAGCTCTGATTATTAAGAATAACTACATGTAAATAGTCAATCTTTCCACTAAGGCTCTTGTTAAGCTAAAGCATCCCCTGCTCTGTGGTCTGTTTGATTCTAAATCATAAATCCTAATTTACTAAATGAACATCTTGTTGTATTGAAGAAGACTTGAAACGAGAGATTGAGACCATAAACTTGTTTACAATGTTTACTGAGGGAATAAGTCATTTTCTCAGTGGAGAAGTCACCCCCTGCTGTTTAGTTTCAGGACATTCTTGCATCAGGTCCTGCTTCCATCTGCATCACAGCATCCTTGAATCACTTCTTAAGTATCTGTCTGCGTGCTTCAGCGTCACTGACTCGGAGGGGCTCTCCAAGATGCAGCCAGCGAACTGATCGGTCCTCCCATGCATATTGTCACTGCTGTGACATGCAGACATGTGAGCACATCACGCTGTGCCCTTAATAATCGCACGGCTGCCACTCTTTAACTCCATTTGTAAAAGTGTATAATATTCGTGTAATATATAGTACAGTACATATATGCAATTAGACACGAACACGCTACAGTCTATGAGCACACTCATTATTGTTTAGTGGAGCTGACGAATCTGAAAGTGTGTGTAATAATATTCTAGCAAATGATTCAGCTGACAGAGCAGAAAACAGCGAGCTGACACCAATAAGCTTTGTGGGGTTTTATTCTTGTTATCAAAGATGCGTTGGGTTTCACACGTCAGTGTTTCTCACTCCTTCGCTGGTGGTTTGGGTCCTTCCACCTGAACACGCTGATAACCACTAGATGGAAGCACCTCCCCACCTAATGGCCGGAGCAAACGGCCACTTACACCACCTGCCGGGGCCTCGGTGGAGGAGAAGTGCTGTGCAGATGGGTGTCTCTGTACTGGGGAAGAGACGCAGTGGACGTGATGTGCAGAGGAAGCATTTTCCTCTTGTTTGAAGTGCTTCTTGAACAGATTTAAGCTCTGAGACGGCGTCACCAGGTGTCTTGTTATATTATGATATTATAATTATGTCATAGTGATAGGAGGCCCGATGGAGTTGAGATGTGCAACATCTTTGACCTGTAAAGTCCATTAAGTAGTTTAAACGGATTATTTAGGCTTAAGCCTCCACATATTGGAAAAGGTAAAACTTTATTTCCTCTCCATAGTGACGTACAACCGGGAGGAAGCGCTTGATGTTTATGAATTACAAATGAAATTTGGTGGAACCTAAAATTGTGCTTCTTTGCTCATTAAACAAAGTTTTTCCTCTCTCCAAACTTGAGAAATGAAAGGAACAACACATTTTAAACAGTCTATGCAGGAGTTGTTAAAGAAAATCCATGGATAACAAATCCCCACCTAATCCTAATCTGGACAAAGATTTGTTTTATTTCCACTTCTTCTTCTCGACGTCCCTCCTGTTTCCTCTTTCAAAGTTCTCTCAGACAGACGCATCCTCAGAAGGGTTCGCGTTCACATCCGTCATCGCCTGGATCGTCTTGTTCCTCAAAGAAAATTCCACCCAAAAAATGGCCTTTAAGCCAAAATAATCTAAGAATTTATAACCTAAAAATAACTTTCAAACACTAACTATACATATTCTATCGACGGATATGTAGCGTTATTGACGGCTGACTGCTCCCTCCTCTGAACCTGCCGGCAGGGGCGACACCAAAATGATTTTAAGGGCGAAGCTTCGAAAAGTCGATACTTTGGCATAAAATGCTTGATTTCCATTTACACACCACACGCGTTTGTGCCTCACATGGAAGCAGAAGCTGCGGCGCTGTTTGCGTCGTAAACATCACACAGAGGTCGTGTGGCCGGTGAAGTTTCCCTGGCTCCAAACGCCCTTCCTTATGACAAAGTCTGACATTTCATACTCCTGGTAGCTGCTGCGGAAAGTTCAGCAAATTGATTGCTGGCTTTTTATTAATCTGTGAAATTACAAATTGGTTTTGCACTGCATGGATTAGCCCGGCGGATAGTGGGCTTCTTCTTCCTATAGATCTTCTACTCTTACTTAAGAGGTTGGGCTCCAGCACGTTTAAATTTGCTCATATCTTGTAAACGGGTTGTTCTCTGTTCATAATGTCCAGTTTAGAATGCAGCGCTTTCCATGGCCACTGCCTTCACTGCTTCAGTTTCTGATTCCTTCTGTGTATTAATATAAAACCGACACCTTGCCCCCATGAATATATAATATAAGCTTGTCTTGTTGATTAATGATTTAAAAAGATAGACAGTAGTCTACTTGTATCTGTATTTTTCTCAGTGCAAGTTCCAAACTAAATATTCAGCTTTTATCCATCGTTATCCATGTTATATATTTCAATAAGCAGGACCACTCACCTCGTTTAAACACCAGGGCGAGGATGTGCTCTCCCTGAAGTCGACGTGTTTTATGTTCCACTCTCTTCAAAGCAGGAATTGGCTGTAATTCAGCTTTCAGCACCTTATTCATTGCACTTGGTGTGCTTCAGGAGAACGCGTGAAGTTCCTCTCATACGCATGGACGCCATGTAATCGGTAAAGTATGCCCACACCCCCGGAGATCGGTTGATCCAAAGGTATCTGGTGTGAGGGAAACGTGGACCTGGCCGTTGTATTGTTTTCCACGTATGTACCGTGGACGGATGCTGCCGAACCGTTGACCTTCGGCCTTGCTTCCCCTCCAAGGACAAAGACAACGATGAAGCGCCGCAGCTCGCCCCGGACATCGCCGAGCCGCAGACGGAGGCCCTGGACGAGGCCCTGGACAAAGGGCCCGATCTGGTCTATGCCCTCAACGACCGGCCGCCCTGGTACCTGTGCATCCTGCTCGGCTTCCAGGTAAACCCCTGAGGTTTCAATTTGTGAGTTCAGCTTATTGCTTCTCATCATCAACGGGCCGCGTCGATGGCACTGCAATGCAAGTGTAGGCTGGTGAATGTGAGGGCCGCTCGCTCTCAGTCCATAATACTTACATACTTACTCATACCATGCTGGATGACTCATTTACGGTGCTCGTATAACCCTTTTCACAAGAAACATGATTTCGGGTGATGGCAGGCCTCGTGAATCGCGTACTTACGTCACGTATATATGCGATTTATTGAGCTGAAAGCAACTATTTTGAATACTTTTCACAAAATAAATGATTCCCCTGGCTTACAGTAAATGGTCCCATGTGTTAAACACCGATATATTATTGTCGACTTTGTGCGATACCTCCGTAATTGCTGCGAGCAACGCCTGTGGCATTTATTCAAACTCCAAATCCTATTTCAGCAACGGCGCTCTCTCCGGGTGTGTGGAGCAGCTCGTCCTTTTTTGGGCAGACAAGACGTTGGGGCGTTAAGGGGGAGGGATTCTTCAGCATCTGCTTTTATTTAACGAAATGATAAAATATATGGTTTAGCCTGTTCTGTACAAACAGCAGCCTCCTTTTTGCTTCGTGCCAATCCATCAGACTCACTTCAGAGGAACTCAAGGCCTCTTCTCTCAACAACGTGCCGTTTATTCCTCATTTGTGTTTCAGACCGGTTAGAAAGTACTTAAAAGTTTTACTTCCTCTTTGTAAGCAGCTGTCATTATTAGGTCAGTAATTCCATTTGGACGTCACACACTTGACATCCTCTGAAGTATTTTCATGGTGAAGTCCACTTCAGATCCTCGTGCTGGAGGAAAAAACTTTATTTGGTTTACTAAGATGACCGACATCTGGGGTCAGTCTGAGGGAAAGTTTCTTTCTTTTCTCAGGTCCCAGAAACCACATTTCTACGACTTGATAAACACTTGTTTGAGTCTACTTAAGTAAATCAGGAGACCAGAGGATCATCAGTTTGAGCAACCATGACATTTGACATTTGAGCATGCAGCTCAAGTTGTTTCAAGGAAGCCCTGCACAGAATCACCTCTAAAGAGTTTGTTGTGATCAAGGTTTTATGTAAATGAAAACACTTTCAATTAGCTACAGAAAGGCTCTCGATGAAATGACGTCCTTTTGCTTTCAGCAGGGAGAATAAAACCAGACATACGATGAAAGGCCGCCGGCGTATTTGGCTGCTTAGCTTCTTGTTTGAATTAATGAACATTTATTTGAAGAAAAGAAAAGACTAACATTTTAGAATTCATTTGAGATTAAAAAAAATAAAAAATAGCTCTATACCCCTGAGGAAGAACGTTTTTGCATGTTTTAGGAGGGTGGGGGCAATTTGTGAGAGCATAAGAGCAATTACGGCTAATTATCGTCTGATAATGATCTTTTTGGATTGAAGCCATTGACTGCCAAGTTAGCAAGCCACAAGCGTCTTTGAAATAGTTTAGTGCCTTGCCAAATAGAACTTGTTTTATTGTTATAGTTTTGCCACTAAGGTAATTGTATTGTTATTGGACTTAAGTAAAACAATGGTTTTCATTTGTTAACCCCGGAGGAGGCATCTTCCATTGGGTGGCTTAAGGACTGTCTCTTCTAAACATATTGTGCCAACACTTTGAGGTTTTTAAGACCACTTTATCATCAAAAATAACCTAGCTTGTAGTTTTTATCAAACGTTACTCAAACAGTGTATTTGCCTGCGATTATTTTCATTCTCTAAATGATATAAATGTAGTATTTTTGAATTGAGTGCAATTGTAGTTGGAACCATGTAAAGTGGAGCCTGTCAATATGGGATTAAAACGCATTTACTGGAGATGTATTGCAGCCTTTTAAGCGGCTTCTTCATGAAGGAATCTTTCCCCCAGTTCCCAGTCCTGGAACTGGAATCTCTATCTGATTTATGGGATATGTCTGCTTCAAAATACCTCCATAACTCTGCTGAGACCCATCAACATCTGCCTTGAGTTGTTTTTTCTTCCCTTCATCCAAATTCTTCTGTACCGACGGATATCTTTCTTGAACTGAAGCAAACCCTCGATCACAAGGTGCTACAAAAAGATCCACGCGTATCAGGTTTGCAATGTTAGATGTTTTTTATGTAAGGCACTGTGCGGATCCGAGTGCTGGATCGGACTTCACTAATGGGTGTCGTTTTAGATGATGAACAACTTGTTTGGCCTTCAGGGTTGGAGAACCCCTCCACACGTGGGATCTGATTCGATGTGGCAGCCTCTGTGAACCATTGCTGCTAAATGCTTAATGTGTTGCAGTTGCAATATCCCAAGTTCGGTATTCCGGCTTGTTTCGTCTTTGTTTCAAGAAAATATCAATGGAGTAACATTTTGATTGAGGAGAAAGTTTTCAGACACCCGGTCATTTATCTGCTGGTCACATTTAAACGCCAAACAAGAGCTCTGCAACAATTGATTTGTATCATTATATATTTCCTGAAATACACTACCTGTTTGCGGCTTAAGTTAACTCATCTAGATGAATAGTAGCTATTATGCTGATGAGCTTCTTATATTTCCACATATTTCTTGCAAAAGAGGATTGTGAACACCTGTTTTGCAAAAGAAAGAGCAATGTCAAAGCAATGACAAATGTCTTGAATTTGAGAAACAAATGCAACAAATGTTTTTCCTTTTAAACCCTTCAAAGTGTCTCCAAATAGAAAGCGTTTGGTTGCCTCCACAGCACTACATCCTCGCGTTTGGGGGCATCATTGCAGTCCCGCTGATCCTGGCCGAGCCCCTCTGCATCAAGGACAACAACGTCGCCAAAAGCCAGCTCATCTCCACCATATTCTTCGTGTCAGGATTATGTACGATACTGCAGACGGCTCTGGGTACCAGGTAAATCCAGCCATCACTTGCACTAACAAGTTCCACACATGCGAGAACAACTTCAGCAACTTCCTGTTCCAACCCCGTCTGGTTTTAAGATTTACAGCTGGTGCAAATTGAGGGAATGCCCCGGTTGAGAGTTGAAAGGGAACTGCAGTTTATTTCCCTTTTCACAAGCATTTGCCCCGAATGCTTTACCGGTCTGATGATAAGGATGAGCCAGTATTTAAATGAGAGGATTACAATCAGGGCCTCCTTGCAATGGTCCCGTGACGTTTTTTTATGTGAAGCCGGAGCAGCCCGGAGCGCTAACCTCGGCCAACGCAGAGACTCACGACATGTCCTGAAACCCTTTTCCTTTTTGATCCTCAGAGTTTACACGGCATATTCCATGGCTTCCCTTTCATGTTATGGAAATCCTGTTTGGCACTTTTAGAGGAAAGTCCTTCTAAATGCGATGCATGAAACTCTATGTACAGAGCAGCTGTCGCTCACGCATACAGTGGAGTAGGGTGCAGGGCGCACACACACTTCCCTGCAGATACTAGTGAGCCAGAGAGAACTGAAGACGCTGTTGTTTACAGTTTTCCACCTACATAGTTTGGAAAAGGATAAAGGGCCAAAAGCGGAATCCCAGCAGACACTATGATATTTAATAATGTTAAGTCCTTTCAGAAACAAAGGGAATGAAGGCATGAAAAGATAAAGTCACATAGACACAACTTCGAAATAGTTACATGAAAAAACAAGAAAAATAATATAATCCATACATCCGCCATCCACATTATGTCATGCATAATTAGTTTTTATTTCCCTTAGAGTTATCTAATATCTACGGGGGGCTATACAATCTGTGCAAATACAACACTTGTTCTTTCTCACTCTCTCTCAAACCAACACACAGTGAGCTCTGACCTTTAACCCCCGTCACCTCACTCACTTGCAGGCTACCGATCCTGCAGGGCGGGACGTTCAGTTTCATCACGCCGACCCTGGCCATCCTCGCCCTCCCCAAGTGGCAATGTCCGGCGCCAAAAGACTCTGTGACGGCCCCCACGCCGCTGCAGAACAGCACGGGCCTGCCGGAGAATGACAACTCTGATGAGGTCTGGATGTCACGGATGCGTGAGGTATTCCAACTATTCACTTGAGCCAGAAGAGGATTTCTTTACTACTTCTACTACTTCTGAGCCCCTACAGGGGGTCCGGGGGGGATTTAAAGGGAACAAAGGAGGCTGTGTCTCATGGTCACAATTCAAGAAAATTGAGTGCCAAACGTAACCAATACTGAGGTTAAATCTAGCGGGTTTGTAAATATTAAGGCTGTCAACGTAAACGCGTTAATATATGCGATTAATGTGGCTGAGATTAATGCAACAAAATATTCTAACGTAGTTAATGTACGTTTGTTTACGTACGTTTGTCTGATCCCGGTTTCGGACTACTTTTTTTGTTTCTTTTCATTCACAGTGTTAAAAAGCCTTAAAGTTACTTTGAAGTTAATATGAATTAACTTCCTCCGGGAACTACCTCGGTATGCTTTATGTTGTCCAGGTACCAAAAATGTATTCAGCTCAGTCGCGTCCTTCCTGTCCACAGATCCAGGGAGCCATCCTGGTGTCCTCTCTGCTCCAGATCGTCCTGGGCTTTTCGGGGCTGGTGGGTCTGGTTCTGAAATACATCGGCCCGCTGGCCATCGCCCCGACCATCAACCTCATCGGCCTGTCCCTGTTCATCGAAGCCGGGAAGAAGTCCGGAGGTCACTGGGGAATCGCTGCTCTGTGGGTCCCTGGCGTGTCACACGCTGCATTACGCAAACGTTATGAACACAATCTTTAAGTGGAGGATATATATTTATGAAGCACAGCCTTTTCTTCTGTTTACCGGTGTATTGTAGCAGAATTGTCAATATTGTAAAATGGTTTAGGTCATGTCCACACCATTGTTGTGTTCATGATGTCATGTCAAGTCCACAACCTGGACTGCTCATTACTCGACGCCCTGTGCTAATGTCAGCAGCTGTGTTTGTTCCATCTCTCGACTCCTTACTTCCGATTTTCACTTCAGGTCCTCTCACAAACACTTCTCAGCAAGATATAGGAATGCATGGGAAACCAGAAACAGACGTCTAGTCTAATGTCTGTGCTTCTGTGCAGCGAAACCTCTTCACTGCTGCTGCAGCCCAGTGTTCCACATGAATGCACTTTTGATAGACTCACCCTCATGAGATCCGTCTTCATTTACCACCGCCATCTCCAGATAATTCAGACTAAAGTCATTACACTGTGGGTTTTAAAAGCTTCAGCAGATCCACCTCCTGGTGCTCTGTACGGGTGGTAATAAGTCATCCACCCTCCTCAGCCTCCCTGCCCAAGCATACACCTACCACCCGCACACAAACAACCGACGCGACCCGCTTTATCCCAACCCAAAGCTGGGAATCAGAACCCTGAGGGCGAAGCCCCAACAGAATGTAGACGGCTTGAAGAGGCGGCCCAGCGGGCCCCGCTCACAAGCGCTCGTATCCCACTCGGTGTGCACTCTGCCAGTTCATTAAGTGATTTAACTAGTGTGTGAGATATGAGAGGTATCCCACGGTAACTAGATCTGACCTATGGGAGCCCGCGAAGGGGCGTTTGCACAGTGTGATCTCTGCCCGGTAGTCACTCCTCATAACGTGCAGCCAATTCGCAGAGTCACGATACTGATGATAATAACAGTATTAATCCAAGAACATGACTATGAACATCAGACTCAGGCTAAATATTTATTTCCCTACTTGTGCCCTAAATTGCTTGTTGAAAGATGTACCATAATAATGCAACCGTAAAAGTGTGTATGGTTAATATCCTGGTATGAATAAGGTCAGTTCAGAGGGGTTTTCTGCAGATTTTCTGCAGAGGAAGCTCTTCTCCATTATCACATCATCGCTCACTCCCTCCCCCCTCGGGCCTCCTGACGTTTTCCTGATCTTTCATACAAGATCCATTACAATTATTTTTACTTCTTTTTTAGCTCTTTCTCATTCTATATATTCGCTGCCGTTGATCCCTTTTAACACTTAGCACATAACACATAACAATTTGATTCGTTTCATGTTCGTGGGGCTGAGACGGACAGAAAGTAACTCACTCTTTTTCTCCTGTAAACCTTTTATGGCCTGTGGACATTTCCACAGGCTGGAGACTTTCCCCGTGGAGATAACATGCACCATGACACTGGCGTGCTGCGTTTCAGGCACAGCGTGAAGCGCTTCACAGGCAACACGAGACGCCCTTCAAAGGCAACACTCAAGTATTTAACAATGCTCCGATGGCGGACACTTTGGCCACGCTGAATACACATGGCCGTTTTCACTCACTCCGCCCCCCCCGCTGTGATGTATGGAAGCATAGCACGATAAGGCAGACTAACACCGTTTTGAGGGACGGCCGATGCCTCTGGGGAAAACTAGCGGCATGACTCAATTTTGACCCGTCTCCTGTCTTTCCACAGCACGGTGTGTCTGATCCTGCTCTTCTCGCAATATCTCAGCAAAGTCAATGTTCCCATGATTGCTTACAAGGACAAGAAGTGGAAGGTTTTCCAGTATCCTCTCTTCAAGCTCTTCTCTGTGAGTGGCTACCCCTCTCCGGTTCTCACGTCCGTCATGGAAAATTACGTAACATTTTCCCCTCAGCACCCTCATAAAGAACAGTTAATAACATTCGTGCCTTGATTTAAAACAATGATTTTAATCAGCATATTTCAAAGATTCATCCAGTGTCAGGCCAAAGGATGCCAACGACATTTGTTCGTATCTATTTCAAGATGTCCAAAGAATGAACGTATTTATTGAATTATACACATCCAATAAATCATATACAATATCAGACTGTTATACATTATACAGAGATATTGCTATATTCAAAACGAGTAACTTGATTTTCACCTCAAATGTAAAAGTAAAGTTTTTACATTGTCATTAATCCTATTGCCATTCCTGAAGCCTTTCTGCAGACACAGTTGCTTTTATCTTACATGCTGGTAAAAAAAAAAAATCCACTCAACGTACAAAGAGACCATGGACTTATTTTCAAAAGTAAAGGTTTGTTAGAAGAAATTGGTTAATTCGTCAGGCCGACTGTGGAGCTGAACATGCCAGGGAGAAATACATATCATTATTATTATTATTTCATTTATAATAAATATAATTTTATTATAGTTATAATATTTTATTTCTCCCAACCTTAAAAAAAAAAAAGTCAATGTGACCGGGATAATTACACTCAATGTCATCCTACATCGGGATGCAATGAAATGCAGAACACAATGAAAACAGCATTCCTGTAGTGCATTATTATTATTATTATTATTATTATATTACTACCATAAAAATAGGATAATATGGCTGACATCTTCATATTAGAGGTTCTACATTAGGATTGATGTCTGAGCATGTGAACATCATCTAATCCAGAGTCCTGCTCTCTGTCCCACCGCCCCGCTGTCAACTCCAGCCTAATCCCGGATGCCTCTGGAGGTCTTCCTTCAAAGCCTTCTCTTTCTTTGTTGGGTGAAACTTCTTTCCTGGGGTTAGGTAAACACAAGTTAGGTCACAGTCTTTCATGACTTCTGAGCCCTTCAAATATAATTATCTTTAGATCTCCTGACGCTGTCCGGCAGAGATCTCTTGTGACGATAAACTCAGCGAATGTGTTTTAACCTGAATTCTCTCAGGGTGAGTTTTAGTCTCGCCCACATTACTTTTCTTACATCTGCCCGGCTTGACTTTTTATTACAGTGGCATTCCTGCAATACTGACCCGTCGCTGTCCATGAGACTCTGCTGATACATGCGCTGCTTTGGGTGCAAAAGCCACTTACACTGTGAAGTGAATAATATATTATATGTATGTACACAGAAGATTGATAGAGATGTACGCTGTGCCATCATAAAACAGGACTTCAACAACAGCCAAAACAAACAAAAGTATTCTGTGGCCTGACTCACAAAACCGCTTTAAACCTTTCAACCCAACTAGACAGCAGCCTGAAGGCTTGTCGGTCATGTTTGAAGTACCTGGGTGTGAATATGTATGAATGATTAGAGGTAAAGTATACACTCTTCTGATATCTCCCCGGTCCCAAGGCAAGTTGAACAAAGGCATAAAGTGTAACATGAGAAAATGCAAGGATTAGACTATAGTCATAATCCAAGAGGTGCTGGATGGCGGCCTCACCGTGTGTCGTGGGTGTTTGAACGCTGAAATAGTGGAGTTTGTTGGCGAGAGGCGTTTGCTTGGTTCTTCTTGGGCCGGTTCGTTGTTTTTGAGAATGACTCAACCTGACACCAGGCATGTGGTTGAGTTTAATTTTCTAATGTTGGGTTTGAAGTGTCCTTTCAATCCCCTGAGACGCTGTGTGTCTGATGCCAAAATCCCAGGCTTTGTTCGGGATGTGCGGCGCCTGGCTTGTCTGCTTCTTGCTGACCATCTTTGACGTCTTCCCCGCAAAGTCCGATGAGTACGGCTTCTCGGCCAGGACCGACATCAGCCTGGACGCCGTCACCAACTCCCCATGGTTCCACGTGCCTTACCCGGGTGAGTGCATGTATTATCACTCTCTTCTGAGGGTGGAATATTAGATTTTGGCTTTTCAAGGAAAAACATACCTGTACAAAAGAAATGTACAAAGCCAACGAGACGACGAAGGAATAACTAAGAATAAACAACAATAAAATAAATATCAATAAAAATATAGATAACTAAACATACATTGCGAGACAAGAGGTAGACTCTCATACGAACGTTCCAGTCACAACACCAGAGATTACTCACACAATATTATTGTAGCATTGCAATATCGATTTTAATGGTTCTTACCCCTATGGACGTACCTACACTTGTATAAAGGATTTCACAATAACTATGGGGGTATTTGTGGTGTCCCAAGCCGCTGCAGCGGTTGTGCCAATAACAAACAATCTGCCAAATATTGTGGTCAGCAACGTGTTTTCACAGCAGTTGTTTTTACACTTGAGTGCTTTGGTTCATGCTGTTATAGTGGTTCACACCGTAATCAACTTTCCTGCCTGCCTCTCCTTAACATTGTCTTTGACAAATTGCCAAAACTCAAGCAGAGGACGTTCTGCTCCTTGGCTGAGGGTTGCAAAACTGCTCTTTAATCATCCGCCAAAATGTTGTGCCTGAATCACATCACGCCAGTGTCATAGTGCAGAAACATTTGATCGTTAAGTGTCTAAAAGAGACAATGCAAGATAGATTTATAAAGTGCCAGATTTGTAAAGTGCCAGATTTGTATCACAACAGCTTGAACTGTCAACAACTTGTGTTGTATTTGAAAGTGGAGAATGTGTGTCTTGGTTGGAACAAAAACGGGCTGCCTGCACATGTTTGTCTAAAACAACACATGGCACCTACTGTTTGGTGCCATGTGTGTTCACTTAGACACTTTAGACCATCTTTACAAACCGCTGATTACTCCTCGTGGCCATAACTATCGCCAAGGAAACTATCCTCATGAACCGAAAATCAAGGAAATATATACATATCGCACAGTGGAAAAACTTGATTTTGGATCACATCTCAATAGGAAATCTACCTTGACCCGTCACTTACAATACAACAGAACACCACTCCATCCGGTCATCTTTTACTAGGTTTTTGCAAACATGATATTATCATCACATGACACCATCATACTGATATTGACAATTAATTCACTAATGTGTCGTTCTCTTGTTGTTTTGTCTATGTTTCGTCACTTCAAATAAAATTAAAACAAAAATGTTTTAAAAAGTATTTAAAATGTTGAAAGGTTGTGGTAATAATTTGGTGTTTAAGCGTAAAGTTGTGTCGTAATGTGCGTGGGATCTAAAACATGTCTACCTTGCACCCCGCAGGTCAATGGGGTATGCCCACAGTGAGCGTGTCTTCAGTGCTGGGCATGACGGCGGGGGTCTTGGCATCCACCATGGAATCAATCGGCGACTACTACGCTTGCGCTCGCCTGTGCGGCGCCCCCCCTCCGCCGACTCACGCCATAAACCGAGGCATCGCGGTGGAGGGCATCGGCTGCATCCTGGCCGCGCTGTGGGGAACTGGAAACGGTACCACCTCCTACAGCCAGAACATCGCCGCACTCGGTATCACCAAGGTACCGCTGGTCTCCCCACGTGGGATACCGCTCCCATTTCAGCAAACAATTGGTAACTTAGATACATGTGTGTTCATCCAGTCATGTTGCTGCCTAAATAAATGTTGCATTCACATGTTTTGATTTCCAACAACAAGAACATTTAGCAAGTGTTTCCAAAAGGTTGCTGCAATTGGCTGTGGTGAAAAACAAACAAGTTTTTTCCAATGTCTTTTTCCAACAACTTTTCCTTAATCTTGCTGAGAAACGAGATGCCTTTCTACGATAACTTGGGTACTAGGGAATTTCAAGTCTGAAATTTATAAAAGAAATAAAGTCACCTGCCATGCTTTTTTTTCTACCATGGTATTAAATTGGGTTTAGTACATCAAGGAATTTCTCTGATATTGTCAATGGATTACTAAACTAGTTGTTTTCAAGAAAGATACTTTTTCCTCGGAGGAACCACCGGTGCTGCCTTCAGCTCCGATGAATCACAGTGAGAACTGAAGTTGACTTTATTCAAACTTTATTTAAACTTTCCGAAAGCCTTATTACGTTCTTTTTCTCATGAAGATCAAGCTTTATGTGGTAGTAAATGATTTAAAATTGTGTTCCAGTTTGGATTTAAGATAAATTATGAGGAGAGTCAAACCCTAATTTTCTGAATAGCAGTGAATAAATCATCATAACTGAATCCCGATTGGTTTCGGCTTGTTTGAGTACGTTGGTCCGGACTCGCACTACAAGTGATGTGATTTACTTCTGCACATTATGCACGCAGTTACACATTACTGAGTTCATGTCAATGGTGTGAATGTCAGACGGGCCGGAGCCGGGGAGGAGGACAAGGACGCAGAGAGGCTTGACTGCAGGAGATTTATTCAAATAATATCATATATCTAATAACACCAAAATACAACGATCCCTTTCACATCACAATACTAACGCGGGTGAACATGCAAAACTACAAGACACACTGGCACAGGACAAAGGGAGACGCAGACAATAAGTATCCATGGGGGAGGTGAGGGAACAGGTGGAGACAATTAGGAATCAGGAGAGACAATCGACAGGAGACACCTGAGGAAGGGCAAGACACCTGAAACGAGAGGGGGTTTAGACGCCACAATAAAACAGGAAGTCTCAAAATCAGACGTAAGACGGGACACAAACACAAACTTCACCAACGTGTATGACAGTACCCCCCCCTAAGGCCGAATTCCAGGCGGCCGTGGAATCTCCGGATGGTCTCTGTAAAAACCTTGAATGAGATCAGGGTCCATGATGAGGCTGGGAGCCACCCATTGTCGTTCCTCCGGGCCGTATCCCTCCCAGTCTACGAGGTACTGCCAGCCTCTGCCGCGCTTCCGTACTGCCAATAGCTTCTTCACAGTGTAGACCGGACCACCGTTGATCATTCGAGGGGGCGGGGGGGGGCTTGGGGTCTGGCACCATACTGCTCTCCTTGACTGGTTTTATTTTGCTAACATGAAATGTGGGGTGAACACGAAGCGACCTGGGCAGGCGGAGGCGTACAGCAGCTGGGTTGATCACTCTGGACACGGGGAACGGGCCGACGAACCGTGGAGCCAGCTTGCGTGACTCCACCTGCAGAGGCAGTTCCTTGGCTGCGAGCCACACTCGCTGGCCGGGCTGATAAACCGGAGCCGGTCTCCGTCTGCGGTCTTGACCCTGTCCCCCTGTCTGATCAGCGTCTGGCGAGCTGCTGCCCAGATGCGGCGGCAGCGGCGGACCAGGGCGTGAGCAGAGGGCACAGACACCTCTGATTCGGACTCTGGGAAAAAGGGGGGTTGGTAGCCGAACACACATTGGAAGGGGGACATACCAGTGGCGGAAGTGGGGAGGGAGTTATGGGCAAACTCGACCCACGTCAGGTGCTTGCTCCAGGCTGCAGGGCACTGCGCCACCAGGCACCGGAGGCCGGTTTCCAGCTGTTGGTTGAGGCGCTCAGTCTGGCCGTTAGCCTCCGGGTGGTACCCTGATGTAAGGCTCGCCGTGGCTCCGATGAGCTTGCAAAACTCCTTCCAGAACCTGGAGACGAATTGTGGCCCCCAATCCGACACAATGTCCCGGGGGAACCCGTGAATCCTAAAAACACTGTCCATCATCACCACTGCCGTCTCCTTAGCTGATGGCAGTTTAGGTAGGGCTATGTAGTGCACCATTTTGGAGAATCTGTCCACCACAGTCAGGATAGCGGTGTTACCGTTAGACGTCGGGAGCCCTGTGACAAAGTCTACAGAGATCTTGGCCCATGGCCAGGACGGAATGGGCAGTGGCTGCAGCAAGCCTTCCCGGGTTCTGGAGGAGTTCTTGTTTGTGGCACAGACTGAGCATGCCTCCACGTACTCCCGGACCTCCGGCTCCATGGCGGGCCACCAGAACCTCTGCGTGATGGCAAACATGGTCCGCCGTACGCCCGGATGGCAGGTGAGCAGGGACGAGTGAGCCCAGTGAATCACCTGAGGGCGCAATTCCACAGGGACAAACAGGCGATTATCAGGACACTCAGGAGGTGGAGGGGTCTCACCGTTAGCCTGCTTCACCTTGGATTCTATAGGCCAGATCACTGCTCCAACCACACAGTTTAGTGGGAGGATAGGCTCAGGTGCCCTGGCCACCGACTCTGGGCTGAACAACCGTGACAGAGCATCAGGCTTGGTGTTCCTCGACCCCGGTCTGTAGGATAAAGAAAAATCAAAGCGGTTAAAAAACAATGACCATCGGGCTTGACGCGAATTGAGTCGCTTGGCTTTCCTAATGTATTGTAAATTTTTGTGATCTGTCCAAACCAAAAACGGGTGCTGAGCCCCCTCAAGCCAGTGCCGCCATTCCTCCAATGCTGCCTTCACCGCCAGTAGCTCCCGGTCCCCCACGTCATAGTTCCGCTCTGCTGGCGTCAATCGGCGGGACAAAAAGGCACAGGGGTGAAGCTTGTGGTCCCCTTCAGCTCGCTGGGAGAGGATGGCCCCGATCCCCTCGCTGGAGGCGTCCACTTCCACCACGAACTGACGAGCCGGGTCGGGGAGTGTGAGGATGGGAGCTGTGGTGAATCTCCGCTTGAGCTCCCGGAAGGCTGCGTCTGCGTCGGCCGACCAACGGAACGGGACCTGTGGGGGAGTGAGAGCATGGAGCGGGGCTGCTGTCGCGCTGAAGCCTCTGATAAACCGCCTGTAGAAGTTGGCAAAACCGAGGAATTGCTGCAACTTCTTGCGATTATCAGGTGTAGGCCAATCGGCTACCGCACTTACTTTAGCCGAATCCATCTGAACATTTCCAGGAGCTACGATAAAGCCCAGGAAGGAGACAGTAGTGGCATGGAACTCACTCTTTTCCGCCTTGACATATAGCCCATTGTCCAAAAGGCGCTGTAGGACAAGCTCAACCTGTCTCTTATGGGTGTCAAGGTCGGGTGAGTAGATCAAGATGTCATCAATGTATACATATACAAAATGATCTAGAAAGTCTCTCAACACATCATTAATCATGGCGTGAAAAACTGCTGGGGCGTTCGTAAGACCGAAAGGCATGACTAGGTATTCGTAATGTCCTGAGGGGGTGTTGAATCCCGTCTTCCACTCGTCCCCCTCCCTGATGCGAACCAGGTGATATGCATTGCGCAAATCTAGTTTTGTGAAGATCTGCGCATGTTGGAGCTGGTCGAATACAGTGTTCATTAGGGGAAGGGGGTACCGATTCTTGACCGTGATTGCGTTCAGCGGGCTATAGTCTATGCATGGGCGAAGAGTTCCATCCTTCTTCCCCACGAAGAAGAACCCCGCCCCTGCTGGGGATGAGGACGGCCGAATCAAACCTGCCGCCAGTGATGATTCAATGTAGTCCTTCATGGCCTGCCCCGAAACAGAGTACAGTCGACCCTTAGGGATGGGGGATCCAGGTAGGAGATCGATGGCGCAATCGAACGGACGGTGAGGTGGTAGGGCTGCGGCTTTGGTTTTGTTAAATACCTCCGCCAGGTGGTGGTAGCACCCCGGCACCTTGGTTAGATCGGTGACCTGCGAGTCTGTAACAGTCAGTGCACACCCGATTAATTGAGGAGCTCATCCCCTGGAGCTGTGGCTCCTGACACTTGTCCCTACAACTCCTCCCCCAACCCACAATGTCCCCGGTGGGCCAGTCTATGTGTGGGTTGTGCCGAGTTAACCACGGGAAGCCTAGGATGAGGTGGTGCAGGGGCGACTGCATTGGGTGTAACCGTATGCACTACCAATGACCGGCTATGCGGAGTTCAACTGGTTCCGTCACGTGGGTTATGGTAAAGAGAGAGTTTCCGTTGAGCGGGCTCGCCTTCACCGGTTTCTTTAATGGGATCACTCTAATTCCCAGGCTCCTAACTAAGTCCCAGTCAATAAAACTCTCATCTGCCCCAGAGTCAATCAATACTCCCAACTCAATGTCCTTGCTGTGGTGTCTCATCATAACTGTGGTGAGCCGTCGCGGGGTGCGTGTGATTTCTGTGACTTCACTCACCCGCTGGTTACCCCTCCCGTAGCAGACGTTGGCGAGATGGCCACGCTCTCCACAATAAAAGCACCGACCCTCTCGATATCGCCGCTCCCGCTCCTCTCGAGAGAGCCTGGTTCCGCCCATCTGCATGGGCTCCTCGTCCCCTTCCAAGGGACGTTGAAACCGTGGTTCCGGCGGGGTCCGCTGGGGTTCGATGTTCCAGCGTGCCGTTGGGGAGCCAAGCACCGACGGCGTCCACCGACTCGCACGCTTCCGCCTCCGTTCCTGCAACCGGTTGTCAGTGCGTATGGCGAGGGCGATGAGTGAATCGAGTTCGGGGGGGAGGTCCAATGGAACCATAAGGTCCTGGATCTGGTCCGAGAGCCCCTTTAAAAAAACATCATATAGAGCCGCAGTGTTCCACCCGCTCTCTGTCGCCATGGTGCGAAAATGAATGGCGTAATCACACACTGACTCGCCCCCCTGCTTGATATCACTGAGTTCCCGGGCCCTTTCCCGGTCGGTCGCCCCTGGGTCGAAGACGAGTTTTAAGGCGTTGGAAAACTGCCTGGATGACGCGCAGGTTGCAGAGTTCCGAGCCCACTCTGCAGTGCCCCACGCCTTCGCTCTTCCCGTGAGGTGCGACATCATAAATGCCACCTTGGACCGCTCTGTGTGGAAATGACGGGGAGAATGTTCAAAATGTACCTCGCATTCCGTGAGGAATGATCTACTCCCTCCGATGGAGGGTGAGAATCTGCTCCATCTGGGAGCTGAGAAGTCCCACCTGTGCCGACACGGTGGTCCTGAACTCCTCCTGGCTGTGGGCCAGACCCCTGACTCCTCGATCTAAGCCCGTTACCAAGTCCATACTGGCCAGTGTGTGCTGTCAGACGGGCCGGAGCCGGGGAGGAGGACAAGGACGCAGAGAGGCTTGACTGCAGGAGATTTATTCAAATAATATCATATATCTAATAACACCAAAATACAACGATCCCTTTCACATCACAATACTAACGCGGGTGAACATGCAAAACTACAAGACACACTGGCACAGGACAAAGGGAGACGCAGACAATAAGTATCCATGGGGGAGGTGAGGGAACAGGTGGAGACAATTAAGAATCAGGGGAGACAATCGACAGGAGACACCTGAGGAAGGGCAAGACACCTGAAACGAGAGGGGGTTTAGACGCCACAATAAAACAGGAAGTCTCAAAATCAGACGTAAGACGGGACACAAACACAAACTTCACCAACATGTATGACAGTGAAGTCCATATATAATCCATCTCTCGTGGGCATCAATAGAGTGTGCCGGTATTCAGTTTTGCTCACATAATATTGTCAGCTGAAAGCCATCAGTGCATTTATACAAGGACATGACTGCAATTTTGAAAAACATCCATTTTAAACAACTTTCAAACAAGTTAGATCATGTTTTGCTTTAATGGATCGAGCGATGAGAAAAATACATATAAAATAGCATTCAATTCTTTTGTTTTTTTGTTGTTTTCTCTGCTGAGAGGGTTGGATATGAATAAAATATATATTGTATATACACTGTACATATATACAGTATCATCTATGGGGGGACTTAGTTAGCCCGGTCAGGAGAGAGCTTTGTCCTCAAAGCTGAGGACCAGTAGGGTCAGTAGGTGCCTCTGTAACTCAACCCAGCTTGTGAAATACGTAAAAATAAACAGCTTCCTGTATCATGGCGGAGAAGGCTTATTGCTTTCTTCATACACAGAGTGGGGAGATTTGCTTTAAGAAAAAAATGTTTTTAAGAAAAAAATGTTTTTGAGGACCGAATTAAGAGAAGTCTTCTTGTTTATTGTTATCTTGTGATTTATATTTTGAAAATGTCAGTCGTATACAGGCATCCTGTCTCCAAAGACACACAAACCATGAAATTAAATAATTACTAGTTCAAAGATGGTTGCAACGTTTTTAGACTTTTTGGGAAAATTGTCTAACTTTTCCCATTGGGCGAAATACATAAAAAACCTTTCAATAATGAGAGCAATCTTGTTCTCTGGGTCTAGAAACATTCTGTGAGAAAATTCAGTTTTGGAGGAATCAACCATCAGAATCACACAAAGCATAAATATTCCTGTTTTAAGTTGTATTTGTATGCAGTTCCTCACTAAAACGGCGCCTCAGTTTGATGTACCCAGTCTTTTCTTAGATAAATAGGTTGTACGGCTTGTTCAGCAGACTTGACCTGAGTATTTCCCGTCTATCTTGGCTTTCTTGTCTCCGCCCAACCAATCACAGATGAGATGGGTCCCCATTAAGACTTTTTCTTGTCCTCAATTTTCCCCACCAAATAGTGTCCTGGTAAAAAAAATAAGTAAAACCGAGGCAGCACAAAGACTATGCTGGAAAAGAACCTTCTTGTATTAAAAGGATAACCGAGGTGTGTTCACTTTATGCCAGGTTGGCAGCAGACTGGTCCTCCAGACGGCCGGGATTCTGATGATCATCCTGGGGATCTTTGGGAAATTCGGAGCAGTTTTTATCACCATCCCAGACCCGGTCATCGGAGGCATGTTCCTCGTAATGTTTGGAATGATCGCAGCAGTGGGAATATCCAACCTCCAGGTATAATCATTGCAATACTACTACAAAATCACCTCCCGCTTGGAGTGGTGAGATAGCCCCACGCCCCTTCCTCTCAAGATCAAGACCCTGAGACACAAAACATCTTGATCTAGGTAGTAGAGTCCAACTGGTTCGAGGGGTGACACTGACCCTTTGACCTTGAAATTCATGCACAAAGTAGAGTTTCTATGGGCATCGAGAGATTATTTATTGGGTGGCTTACTTTGCAAAGATAAGAATATAATAATTGGACACAGTAGAAAGATAAACACGTAAACTAAGTTGTAAAAAGTAATAAAACAAATTACCTAACTGAAGATTTAAAATTGTAGATCAAAGGGGAAATACACATTAAACTATCCCTGAATAAAAAATATGTGTTTACTTTACCAACAGAAGATATTCTTTTGCCTTGAACATTAGTTTAGGAAATGCGTTTTTGGTGTAATCATCAAGTACATCATCATGGTGAGGTCAGTGAACTTTCCTCCTGATACAGTAACAGAGTTCCTTATTTTGATCATAAGAAGAATTAATTAGGGATTTGTTAGAGCTTCAACAGCAACCAGTGAGAATATCGACAAATGTCTCAATAAAATAAATCTTCACAGCTTTGGACCTCCCTTTCTTCTCCAACACAAACACACTGGGACGTTATCGTTACAGATATATTTAATCAAAATATAAAATTGCTAACTTTCAGCTCTGTTAAGTATTTTTTTTGGCCCCAGAATGTAGCAGTTGGCAGATCTGTCTCAGTAGAGTACTCCTTAAAGAGCACTAGCAAGTATTTTGATGAGGCGTTCTTTGGATTCCACGCAGCAAGGAGTTTGAGGGAGAATTTGCCAAAAAAGAAAAACCTGTTTTTGCTTTGTAACATTGTATTCCCTGAATTATTAGTATAGAGCGCCAATATCCCACCCAAACAGTTTTATTTTGTGCGCATATATCATATATATATAAAATCCTCGCCAGAAGGAAATAAATATTGTTAATAAAAGGTCGGAAGGTAAGGAGTCGATCGGGTACACAGTATTTATTTCCATATATTTTTAAAAGCAGTTTGCATTGATAAGGTGATCAGAAGGCCGGCCCCCACAGCTTTTGATGACATCAAAGCTCAAAGCCAGTTGAACAGAAGCTAACAGTGCTAGTGGGACAGAAGCTAACGCTACAAGTGGAATAGAAGCTAACGGTACAAGTGGAACAGAAGCTAACAGTGTTAGTGGGACAGAAGCTAACGGTACAAGTGGAACAGAAGCTAACAGTGCTAGTGGGACAGAAGATAACGGTGCTGTATCACATTCTTCAATGGCGCAATGAAGGCTTTTCCTTTGCTCCCACGACCAAACTCACAAGAATCCTGGAACAAAATAGAACATTTTTTTGTGAAGTTCCATAACAGAGATGGCAGATCGACAAATGAAATCTCTCTCCCTGTCTCCCTCCCTCTCTCCAGTATGTTGACCTGAACTCGTCCCGTAACCTGCTCATCCTCGGCTTCTCTACCTTCAGCGGTCTCGTTTTACCGACCTGGTTTCACTCCAACCCCGGCATCATTGACACAGGTGACTTTCAGACATTCCTCACTCACAACCCTTGAGACGATTTAAAAAAAGGTATTGACGACCGTTAATACCGGAAGATCCAGATTGCAGAGGACTATTGATAGTCCTCTCAACATTTGCAATCTGTGCCCCCCGCCAACAATATTTTGGTCGTATTTATTTTACTTTGGGCAAAACATTTGGCTGACGCTAAGAATTGCATCTTTGGCCTCCAAGTCTGGCTTTTTCATGAAAAAAATTGAATTGAAATTGACACATCCAAGCTATAAATCCTCCCTCGGGAGCGACATGGTGCTGTGACAGCAATTGGGAAGTCCTCCCAATGCTCCATTTACAGCCTAAGCTTCTAAAGCCAAGGTGTTGCCAAATCCATCAGGCCCAGATGGCCCCCACTTGGTTCAATGGCCTCACCTTAAATTGAACTCTGGATTTAGTAATTTGTTGGCTGGTTTAAATGTCAGTTGGGTTGGCAACATGGCAATTAAACACCTAAATTTACGGGTCCGGTGTGTTGGGCAGTTTAAGAGATTAACACTCAGCTGGAACCAATCAGCAGTTGTTGCCCACCATTTACACTTTGAACTCCTGTTCTTCAGTCATTTTACACAACTTGGTCCTTGTCTTTTGCTTTGGGCTTAGGCTGGAGAGCGTTGTAGTCATGTGGAGTTAAAAATGTCTGTGATGCCCATTCCTTTGAGAGACCTTTGACTGCAAGGATGGGATCAATCAGGCTAAATGAGTCCATGCTGTTTGTCGGGAATAAACTTCTGTTTGTTGTAGTTACGGCCCATCTGTACTCCCATGTCATTCAAGTGTCTTTGTCATTTCAAGTTTTAATTGCAAAAGGAAACCAGCACGAACACATCAAAAATACAAAGTAATATCACATGTAATATTTTTCATCATATGCATAACATATTTTTTTACTAAATTCGACAGGCAGAACCCTATTATGCCAATCCAACAGGCACCACGTGGAGCTTCTACAAACGCAGGTCTGATCAATCAGAGGACCAATTAGGGATCAAATGATTCCCAACTTTTGATGACCTATGGATCGGGCGCATCTCTCCGTGGCCCCCTCCTTAGGAGTGCCGTCAAAAGAGCAATCCTCCAGATTAAACAGATCTTTTTCGCAGACATAAGGTCTTGATCCCATGAGTCATGTGACGCGAGTGTCTCCTTGGAAAGTGCTAATCCAGAGTTCAACACTGGGCATGAGGGTTCGTCTGGGTCTCTCAGGTCTAGGCTGCTTACCTTCCAATCCGCTTGGCTAACCGAACACTTCACTGTCTGTAATCTGCGATAAAGCGCTCTTTCACCTGACTTATTTCCCCGGTTGATAGCGCCACACAAGAGGAAGCTCTTCATCAACACACTGCTGCTGCTCTTACAGACGTCTTCAGAGGCCCAAGTGAGATTTAAAACCAACTCAGTGGGGGCCATGAACTTTTTAATGCTTCCTCTCTGGGAGAGAAGGGGTCAGGAGGGCTCTTTTGAACGGGGTTGTGTACGTCAACGCCTTTTGGTATTCTTTAAAATGTTGTTTCAATTTACACACAATTTTACAGATGGTAATGTTTATTTGGAGCCCGACAGTGTCCCCCACAGTATTCACACAAACCGCGTGTCGCCACACATGGGCCAGCTCCGACTCAGCCACGCTACCTTCACATAACTCTGCCATGCAAGATTTTACTCCACCACGTTTAAGATATTGGTCTCGATCCAAATACATATTTAGTTTGTGGTGATTATGAAATTGAAAAACAAAGAGTTTAATCAAAGCTGTTCACAGTAAAATAAGATAAAAAAACAACAACAGAAAGTCAAGTTTGTGTGCTCACATTAATCTTCGCTGTCAATTTTTATTCATCACGCCCGGTTTCTATTTATTACTGTCGCTGAATTTGAAGCACCAAAAAAGAGCCACTGTTTGGTGAAGTTAAGATTAAGATTGATCGGTTGAATGTTTCCTCACTTCACTACAACAAACAAGACGGCAGCCAGCTGGACTAAGGTGGCCAGAGAAGTAGAAGTTTCCTACTTGCAGTCGTAATATATGCTACTAAAATAAATACGAGCGGGCAGAGATCAGCGTAAAGACCGGAATGACGCAACGTTTTTCTCTGAAAAAGTGATTTTACTGCCTTCAAACCTCACTTTTTCATTTTGTATTATCTGTTTACAAACAGTGAATCTACCTGTTGATTCAAGGTGGCAGAGCAGCACTCAAAGTCTGATGTTTAGATTTTACTGTATGCCTCCAGTGTGGTTCACATCCTCACTAGGTTTATCAATCTTTCAGGAAAGAGTCAGCAACACTTCCGCTGACATTTTCAGGTCTTGCTTTCATAAGTTGCATGTAATATTTGAGATTTTTATAACTTTGTCTGACTTGTGTCGGAGAAGCTTTCGTACTTGTATTCTGTCTGATGTCTATTCCTATGAAGAGTGTGTTTGTGTGATTGTTGGCATCATCATTGTTGGTCCGACTGTAGTGGACAGGAGAAGTTTTGTATTGTTTATTTTACCCGTCGGGAAACTAGCCAGTTTACCAATTAAATCTGGTGCCAAACTTCTTCTTCCAAACTCTTCTCTTACGTGAGATGTATTTTTGTACATGGTCACTGACTAAAAAATAAACACCAGGCTGAGATCTTTGCATTTGAAGCATATATAAATGTAGTGCTCGGCCCCTCAGGATTCACTCTCAGCCCTGCGTTGATTTTGGTTTAAGGGAGCTTGTATTTCTTTTGGTTTTAGCGGGCTTATCCTGACCTCTGACCTCCAGGTTTGCAGGAGGTCAGAGCAGAGAGCAAAGAGAACATGCCATCATGATTTATAAATGTTTTCCCCCAAACCGCTGACTGGGTTAGTAACACATATCCTGTCTCTACTCTCCTCTCTTGAAGGGATGAAAGAGCTGGACCAAGTGATCGTGGTGCTCTTCACCACACACATGTTCATCGGAGGGTTCTTTGGGTTCGTGCTGGACAACACCATTCCAGGTATGTCCAAGCAATCGTGTTGGTCATGAGATCACTGAAGCCATGCCATCTAATAACCTCGCCTCTTCCTCTTCAGGCACCGAAAAAGAGCGGGGCATCAAAAGCTGGCAAGACGAAGCGCAACAGGGAAGCAAAAACCTGTGTGACGAGTCGTGCTATGACATCCCGTACTTAAACAGTGTTTTTAAGCGATTTAAATGTTTCCAGTACTTGCCCTTCCTCCCTTCTTATAAGACCAGGCGATAGGGGACATCTAATGAACCATTAAATGACGTGGTTTGCATTGGTGCTGGCTTATTAGCCCCATGAAATCAACCAGTTAACAGTTGTAGAGGTTTTATTAAATTACATGCATGAATCTAAACCCTGTAACTTCTTTAGGACTCCCTAAGATGAACACATTAGTCCGTGTATAGGCTAGAACATTAACTCAAACACTATTGACTTTCTACTACAAAGTGGAGGTACCGTGTCTCCTTGCAGTTGGAATTAAAAACAAAAACCTTGATGTATAGGTTAATAAAACATCTGTAGTGCCTGAACAAACAAAGAGCAGCATGATACACTCACGAAGAGCTTGCAAAAAAAACATTAATTAGACCAGTGGTTCCAAAACCTTGAGCTCACCTTCGACGATATAGTAACATGGAAGGTTAAACTTCTAAAGTTAAACATATTTAGATCAAAATTCTGTATCAAAAGTACCAGTATTTTTCATTGTTGTTGTCTAAAGCAGAATCATCATAAAATAAATAAAGATGTGCACTGTTTAAAGTTAGCCAGTGTGTAAAGACTGTTACTTTCCAGTGAATCTTCATGTAGCTGCTGAGTAGCCACTGTTCAGGTGTTACAGATGTGTAGTGACGTTTTCAGCAGGATCATTACTACCTCATCTAGAACAGCAACTTACAGGAACAGATTGATGGAAGACTTTTTCATAGTTTATAATATAGAATTAATAATTCTAACATGAACACACAGGGTTACTGCTTTATATATTGCATTGTGTCTTTTGTCACTGTGTAGCAGAACAGCTCTTTAAATTATTTTTACATGTAACACTTTTGCATTTTAAAATACATGTATGTGCAATTTTGCTAATTTTTGTACGATCATTTTCAAAAGGTCCTGAACTGTGATGGGTTGTTGTTAAATCAATTCTGATGTTGATACTGACTTTCCTGTGTACCAAGTTCAACTTGAGAGCAGTTTTCCACAGGTTTTGAGAATACAAACCACATCACAAATCCAAGTTTAAGAGCACAGGTTTTAATTTTAAAAGATAAAAAGTTTTGGATATATATAAATAAGGGAATTGTTCACTTGTCAAAATAAAGACAAGTTATACTTGGTGCACGTACGTCACGGGTAGTTCACCAACTTATTTTAAATATGTTCTAAAACTCAATGTGTCATTCACTGGCTGTAGTAGGTCACGGAATCATCAATGTCGGTAGAAATAATCCTCTGCGAATAAGTATTTGTGGATGATTCATTGTCATGATACAATAAAAGAAAAACCCAACAAAACAAAAACATTGTACATTATTTGAACCAAAGCTGTCTTAATATTGAAAATGGATCAGCAGGGAAACATTGTGCATTTACTTTGACCACGTTTGAGCACCCAGCATTGTTGACGTGAACAAACATTCCGTCTTGGGTTTCTGCAAGAACATGTTGACTTGATTTATGTAACAAAAGGGACACAATAATGGTCTCATTGTCAGCCTTCACACACCTACTTCGTTTTAGTCACAGGCCGTGTACAACAAGTGGACATGGTCATTGTGACGCTTTGATCCTCGAGGTGCCGAAGCGTCCCCTGCTTTATGGTCTATTTGACCCCTAACAGATCAACGTGTACTAAATAAACATACAGTATTGAAGAAGTCTTGTCTGAGTCTGAGATCAGAAACTCATGACTGAAAGGTTTATTGAGGGAATAAATCAATAGAGAAGTAGTGAGAATGCAGCTTATGAAACACTTTACGGTGCAGAACCGGAGGTTCTCGGCACATTCCAACGTCACCACTCCAACGGATACAGTGATCTCTAACATTTTATTTCTTTGAGTGTTGCCTTCCCGGTGTAGAGAATTATTGCATTGTTTTGCTTTTTAACCCACACAGCCTATAAACACCATTGATTTAGGTTTGGCATTGACTTTAGTATGAGGTACAACTGCCTCAGGCAGGTGAGTGAAATAACATTTTGTCTCTGTCCGCTCCCTGTCTACATTAACATCACCTCGCTGCTAAGCACCCGCCACACCCTTTGAAACCGGGACTTATTGTTGTGATTATGTGACTGTTCTGGGATAAACTGTTCTAAGAAGACAACTGGCATATCATGCAAGGGGTCACTAGGCCACCAGTGACTATGTATGGGTTATGTGTTGCTTTCTATGAGGATTAGTATAATTTAGAATCAAGTATATCAAAGGGGGGTCTTTTCAAGTTAATCTGTCAATAGACACTTGTCTATCTCTGCAAATTTTCCTGCTTTTTTGATCAAGTAACAAGTCTGTTTTACACATCGTGTAATGGTTGAGGAGAAGGTGATTCAGTAAGACTAGTTTTTCTAGTGCTTAATGTTCAGTTGAAGTCAAGGCAATGCTGTTTAGAGACCCTCATGTGTCTTGTAATAAACAGGCGCCTGTATGTGTGTCTCGCTCCAAGTGGGAAAGCAAGTACGTCTCCAAGCGTTTTGGCATTTCCAAATTCTTTCAAAAACAAGCTTTGAAGTTCATGTTCCCCTGGTGGGTTTTGTCTCGCCTTTAATTCCTCCCTGATATGTGAAAATCTTTACAATCTCTTCCTTTATCGGGATTAGGCTCTTCTGAACATCCAACTGTGCAGATTCACAGGGAGTAGAAGACAATTGGGGCGATCAAAAAGGCCTCCGCAGTCTGCTGATTAGGCGTATCTTCTTTCGACCAAGGTCCCATACTTAATCCCCTGGGGTTCATGTAATTTATATCTGTAAGTGCTGTTTTTGCCTTTGTAATATGATGGCAAACTTTGATGGGAACAGGTATGCAAAACATTGATATTTCCAGAAGCATGAAGATATCATAGGTAAGTGGATGCGAGGAAACAAGAAAGATAATGAAAAGGAAGGTCCTTTATCCATTCACTGTTTTGAAGGCTTTTGTTGCTTTTCTCAGTCTTCAAGCATTCAAATAAGAATATTCGTATTCCATTTGAAGCTATAGTGTCTAAATGACATTTTCCCAATTCCCCAAAACCTTTTGCCACATGATCTCAATTGGGTTTCTGCATGACGCACATTCACTGTGTATACATCCTTATAGTGTGTATGCAGAATTCCCAGTGTTGGTGGGTAAAGGAGATGGGACCTGCCCAATCATAACTACTTATTGCTCTGAACGCGTTGACCATTGCAGCTGTTTGTCTGGTTGCACCACAGTTTATTTAAGCATGCTGTCCACATAATCGGAAGTTAAATGTATCAACAAGAATAACCAGCTTTGTATAATCTGGCACCTTGGCTTAGTAGTCCCGATGACGCATCAGCATCATTCATCAAAGGCGTGGTTAGCGGTTCACCGGCACCAACGTGTCCTCATGACTTTAAAAATTACACTTTGACTCTGCATAATCCATATGCAAACATACGCATTCAAACATGGTAAACGCAGCAGCATCAGCTTAAAGCAACACCAGCGCACAACGTGGCGTTGTACACCTTATAAGAACCCAACCTAAGTTCAAAAGGGAATCGATTAACTTACTTTTGAGGATTATAGTGGAATCAGGAGGGAGAACGGGTCTAGTGTGGACGACGCCCTGATGCATCTTAACCGACGGTGAAACAGAGTGCTTCAACGCGGCGATACAATTATTTATTATTAGGGTGACGAGGGGCCTCATACATGCCCTTATTAGTTGGCGCTATTTGAGAAGAAAATGCCTTGGTTCAAATTCTTCTTTGTTTTGTTTTGTTTGATTACTTTTTATTAAAAGAAGCTAGTGGAAAGTAAGCCTGTTTTCCTTTGTGGAAGATCTCAGTTTTACCAGATCTGATCTCTTGACGTTCTGTCAAAGCAGAGGAATATTTATTCCAGATTGATTAGGTAAGATGCAGCTGTGGTCGCTACGGGAAACCCAGTAACTCACCGATTACCAAGGTCACTTTTGTGAAGCGAAACACCTGCTGCTCTCTGAGGGAAAAGAAGAGGGGCTAAATTCTTTGTCAGATAAACGTTTCTTCTCTTCAGGCGAATAGGTAAGACCCCACAGCAACAGCAACTCAAACCAGCGCTGGTCTTCTGTGGCTGGTGTAACTTGCCACCGAGCGCCCCGACTGACTGACTGACTGACTGTAACCTTTACCATCAACCGCCTGTTGGTCACGGCAGGTAAAAATGAGGCCACACACAGCAAGCGACACATAGATTACAATCTGATCTGGGGAAACAAAAAATATACATAGTTTACACAGTGAACCGCAGACCGAAAGACCCATCATGACGAATAAATAGCATCATAAAATGCCACAAGAGAAATGAATAACATGCAGCTGTAAAGGTGTTAAAAAAGACACACAAGTAGCGGAGCCACACAGTTTACACGTGTCCCGGCCACATGTGAAAGCTGTGTGTCCGGGACACGTGCCCGAAGTCACCAAGCCCGTCAGCTGGTGGAGGAACAGATAGAAATCGGTGGTGCGGTCAGTTGATGCAAATCTGGGATAACGGGATTACTGAATTCTAATCAGGATTTAGTTGTATCGTCAGATATGTTCATTGGTAACGAGGCACCTTCAGCAGCGATGTTCTGAACTGGAGGTATTAGAGATGTTATTACCTGCGCAGATTTTTAATCATCCACCGGTAACGTGGCTCTTCTTGGATGTGTGCCACCTCTCAGCTGAGACAATTTCTGATTTCTGGTAACTAAGGTTGGATACATTTTTTTTTTTGTTGCTGTCATTAACATTAACCATGAGAAAAAAAATACCAAGATTTAAAACGTAAGGGAGACCCATCATGTTCTTACCAGTTTTTGGAGTTTCTGCTGGAATTTGTTTAAATACTTTAATATCAAAATCACTCAACACATCTTTTAGCCTTTTTTTCAGAAAACTAAATACAGTAAACGTATATTCAGACGAGTCTACATGTGGCGTATGAGGGGAAGCCAGATCTGATTCGCTGGTTGAATCGTAAGTTCCAGGGCGTAACCACGCATCCTTTGGGGGGGTCGTGTCCCCCCCAATATTGAGAAAATACCAATCCGTCCCCCCCAATATACAGCAGAAAATATGTAAAATATCTGTTTCCTTCCTCTTATGAACCATTTGTTAAGCGAAATGCCGTGGTGTCCGCGCCGACCCCCCGTCAGCCGTAGTATCCAGCGGACCCGAGTTAGGCGATAGTCTTCATAGAGTCATGATGATCCTGTAAAGTCTCCCAGTTGGTTACTATGCAAATGGTCATAGACATTTTTGGGGAGAACGGATGGAGAAACCGGATTGTTCTGAAGATCTACTCAGACGTTACGCTTACACTAATTTCATTGTATTTCTCTTACGATTTACGATCAGTCGCCCTGATTCCTGTCTAATAAATATGCTGTTAGCATGTTTCCACAGCTGGTGCACATGAAATCTGAGTCAGACTCAATGCAGTCTCCTACAATACAACGTACCCACACAATTAAACTGCATTCCCAATTAAGTCTCAAGAAAAACTACACATATTACAGTTCTAGTCTTATGCGCATGGTTACTATTAAAACTGAAGAAAAACAAAAACAAAAGTAAACACAATTACTCGGTTATATCAAGGCAACATGTTCTAATTCGTAAGGTTTTATTCAAACATAATGGTGTATCTTACAAGAAGTGAGTTTGTTATGTCATTAAAGTTTCAGGAAATAATTTAAAAGTAAGTAAACATTGGTTTCCCAAACAGGACATAAGCAGCGGTTTCTAGTAAATCAAACTTGACAATGCAGCCAGACTGCATTTCAAAGGATCCTTTTTTCAACTGGAAATGTAAGCATTCTCAAAACCACAGCCGTATACCACGCATTCAGAAAGCACTCAATTAGTCTTTAAGCTGAATCCTAATAACAAAACTTACAACAAAGTCCTACTTTCCCTTCATTAATCTCCACCAACAAGATAACAATATTCAAAAAGCATTTATCGCAAATTCATTGAAATGAAAAAGTATCACATCAACAAAAGGATTCCGACCCTTTGTAATGACACCTAAAATTCAGGCCAGAAGCCTCTCATTTTACTTGATCATGCCTGAGACGTCTCTTCCTCTCGATTGGAGCGCACCTGTGGTAAACTCGACTGGGGGGAGGTAGTGTGGAAAGGCCC